TCAGTTCCTCTGCTAAGTCACTCCCCTTAATTCCACTGATTGGGTAATTTTGAGAACTGGGGTTTACACAATTTCTGAATCTCCAATCAGCTAGCTGCAATTTGGGGCTTTGAACCTTAAAGTCCTAACATCGTTTTTGACAGTACACTGACAGATAACCTGCTTGGCGTGGGCTTCAAAACCGCCTACTTTTAAGTTACGACGTGCAGGACCTGTCAGTGATCGAATTCTCAAAGTTTGCCGCCGTGCTACTCACAAACAAAATTTCTCAGAAAAAGCCACAGGGGGTGTTTCCTGTGTAACATCAAGATTTGGAATAAGTCCATTCCTGAAAACAAGAATGTGACTATGTCCCACTGGCTTTGGTATTACTTGTTACCTGCACTTAATTTTTACTACTGATTATTCTAATTATTAAATTAGTGAGTGACAGTGGAGCGGTTACAGCTTGAATGCGTTAATGTTTTTCTGAACTTGAGCACGAGGCTTCGTTGTAGCATTAAAATGAACTAACTATTCATATCAAACGAACACTTAAAGGAGTTTATTTTATTTCAGGGCCCTATTAGTAGCTAGACTGTATAGCGCCAAATGGTAGGATTAATCAGTAAATTAGAATAGATTTTGAAGGAAATGTTCTTAGCCAAATTCCAGGATTTGCCTCGAGGAACTTGGGAAATCTACGATGAATATCAGCATAGCCGGTAATGCTACAGAGAGCCAACCGAACACCTCCAGAATACGGGTCTTGTACGTCGCCGACACTCCAGCCCTCTCGGTGAAGTTGTTTAAATAAACAACTGTTGCATTAGTGCAGTAATTAATACTATTATCCTTACGATTTTTTTTCTTTTTCCTTGGCACTACAGCCCCAGTGGGCCTAGGCCTACCTCCATGAACTTCTCCGTTCACTTCGTTTTTTCTAGATCTTACACATTCGGTAGGACTCCTTGGGCGAGTGATCAGCTCGTCGCCAGGCCTCTACCTGTACACAAACACAGAAAAACGCACACAAACATCCATGCCCTGAGTGGGATTCGAACCCACGATCCCGGCTTCCAAGCGAGCGAAGACAGTGCATGCCTTAGACCGCTCGGCTACCGTGACCGGCATCCTTATGAATAATCAAGTACAACTATTACCCATGCAAGTAGTATGTATCGACATATAGTTTCACGTGAATGAGTGAGTATATGTCGGGTTTTGATTGGTAATTGGATTTATTGAACACCTACAGATCGTAACTACAAGTATCTATAGCACTCTCTATAATTCACTAGAGCACGTACTGATTCTTATCCGTGTCCTGTGCATTCATCGGTTGCCGCCTGGTAACGGCTTCAACGCCGTAGTCGCCTCAGCTTCCGTCTTCACGTCCTTACTGGCCAGTGATTGCCAGAACTAACTAAACGCTAGACTTATACCGCGTATAACACCTCGGCACGGATCGCACAGAAAACACTTATCCTAGCAGAGTCAGAGTCAGGGTTACTTTACGGCTGGCAGTTTACCGACAATCAATTCGTCTTGGCGACAAACCCTTGAGACGCACGTCCAGAATTTATTTTCCAACTGAACACTTGCGGTTATAGTCCTTATGTGACATCCTCTCTGACGAGAAGATGGGTCCGTCGTTTACATTCCTGCTGGTCCTCAGGTACGAGTCCCGCAGGACTAATAACCACGTTTTACTGTCTCAGATCCTCAGGTCCGCGTATTTAGGTCCCCAGGAACAGGGTGGCCGGGTTATAGCTCCAGGTGCTGGGTCCCCTTTTCGTCGCTTCTTACGACTCGCAGGGCTACGGTGGAGGTATTCGACGCCGCCTCCAAACGGGATTATCCCACAGTTCTATTGTTGCGTCACGTAGCTGTCGCACGGACCGCGTAAAGTACACCGCTTCCCGCAGCCCTTCTATAACTGCGTGACGTTACCAAGAATGTGACGTGTTCCTCTATTGTATATGCAATCATGGCTACGCTGATAAGTTGTTTACCGTGCCCTAACCTGGTAACGGCTATCTACACGCTACAATATTGCAATGTTTGTCTTGTTCTGTGGCAGTTATTTACAGTTTGTCACAATCTTGATGTCAGCTTGTTCTTCTTCACTACTGTTCCACTGAATATCACAACTCTGTCTTCTTCCAATCGCTGCCAGCACGTTCCGCCATTTTTACTATGCGTGAACAGTGCATACCGCGCAGACTCAGCTGTACTGCCGCTCCTTGTCTCGCGACTGCTGTTCTAAGAAAGTTATTTCTAGAGAAGCGGCCTCCGTAGTCTAGAGGTAACGTTCCCACCTCATGACTCGTGGTACGCGGGTCAAACCCGGCGGAGGTCGTCGAATTTTTAAGGGCGGAAATATTCAGGCAGGGACTTTAAGTCGTGTGTCCCGTGTCGTAGCTTTACATCACGTAAAAGAACCTCATATCTCCAAAGGAGGTCACTGAGCCAAATTCAAGGACGTTTCCCGCCCAACAGTAGTCTCTAATGCCTCTGATAGATGGGGGAAGCATTATAGATACCGCCAAGCTAGTGGAGGCCGAACTCGCTGGCTCGGTCGGGACTGATGGTACGCACCAATCGGCAGGGTATATAGTATATCATAGAGGGAAGCACAATGGACCAATACTGGTCTAAGTGCATGGGGAAACCCACCCTCTTCGATAACTAACTAACTATTTCTAGAGAAGACCGGTACAGACACGAGAGACGAAGCACTTTGAGTTTCCGGAAGTTGCGAGAAGAAGGTGGCGGCGCGCGCTCATACGCGTCTTACTTCCCACACTCAGTCCGCGCGACAACATAAAGTCTGTTATGAAATGAGCGGCAGTTATGAAGTATGTGTTTCGCGATATTTCGTCACACCTGTACCGTTATGCATGTGTAATATCCCAAGGCTTGCCATTCCGTCGTTATTTTGTCTTCAAATGTCGTTAAACAACAGTCACAGTGCTTATAATGTGTCTGCACGTAATGTGGGGGCCGTTTTGTCGAACAAGTTACACCCGCCCCCACACGCTTCACTTCACGCGGTGTATGCCTCGACTAAATTCAGCGGAATGAGTCTTATATCCCAGGGGTACACGGGTGTTGGCTCGCTTACGTCGTTTTTATTTGGATGCGGGCTCGATCGGTTAACCCCCTAGCACAGGTTCCACAGGAACACCCTCACTCCCTGGCTTCTCCTCACTCACTCCCCGGCTTCCACTAACTAACTCCTTAACCCCGCTGCTGCTTCCAGAAACCCCGTTCTTAGCCATCTCGAACTTTCCACTGGGAGGTTTTCATGACCAAATACACGGACCCCTTCCGGTCTGCACACCTTCTAGAAGTTTCTCGAAGCTTCGATCCACAGGTCCTCCACCCCCACAGGCACGGACGAAAGAAGGTATACCTACTCCCCCTTGAATGCAATGGACTCACCAACCTCCCTTCTGTCCCTCGTAACAAAAGGCCAGTTCAGAGGACCATTAACCCTCCAGGGCATCTCACTTCCACAGCCAAACCCAATCGCTAAGCATAAACAGATAAGATACCTCCGTGAAGGGTGCGTACGGTTACAAAGTCTACTTCAGAGAGACTCTGATTTCACAAATAAAATTTCAAGTCGCTAAATAATGTCACGTGTACGGGTGACTTATAAGACGGGTTCTGGGTTGGATGATTGGATTTATTGACATCTTATAAATTCATAACTCGGGACTACAGGTAATACAGCGCTAACGCTGATATACATATTCGTACACTAGAGTTCACCGTTACACAAGCGTTACGGTCCTCAGTCCTCAATAGTCGTATCCTGGCAACGGATTCATTACAGTCTCACTATAATTTCAAATCACACATGAAGCCTTTGCACAGCCTAATTCCCTTCTTGCCACTATTCTGCAAGTGCCAATTCCGAAAACTCGACTCAGTTCTATTCCTCTGCTCCCAAGCTCATATCCTGGCAGGCTGGAGTCCCAAAACTGGTGGTAAAGGTGAGGCCGACTCATAAGACTGACAACCTCACCGCCATCTGTGAACCAATTGTCTATACAATGTGGGAACCTCGACGTCTCACAACCCTTTGCGCCTCCACCGTCTGTTCCAGAGTTAGCTTTACTTTTTACTTCCCATGTGTTGAATTTTAGAACATACAGAATAATGTGTGAGCCGGGATAGCGCAGTCGGTATAGCGACTGCCTACAGGCTGGACGACCGAGAGGTCGGAGTTCGAGTTCCAGTAGGCTCAGAATTTTCTCTTCTCCATATTGTCCAGATTGGCTCTGGTGTCCACCCAACCTCCTATCCAAAGGGTACCGAGGGTAAAGCGGCAGGGACGTGAAGCTTTCCACTCACCTCCAGCTAGTTGCCGAGGTCAAGAAAATGTGGATCTATACATCCACTACCCCATAATTCTTCATGGTGTAGTGCTTAATTATTTAAGCACAGGGACAACTTAATATTAACAGAAAAATATATGGCTACATTTTAATACAAGTGAAGATTACAAAATAAACTTGTAAAAAATGGAGTGCATAATGTTAATGTTGAATTAATAACTAGTGAATCTCACAAAATTTCTCTGTTATTCACTAAAAATCTGTAGTTAAATTCACTCGATTGAAAGAAATGTATGTCCATTGTTTAGTGGTGAATTTGTAGTCAGTGGTTATTATGGTGCTGTTTTGACAGTTGACGAAAGAGAGAGGTGCGTAGCTTTGGCAAAGTTTCCTTTATAGACAAAGTTTAGAGAAAACTTTTCTTCTAGATGGCAGGACCGCTTAATGTGTACTTTTTTCTATGCAGTTCTATTATCGCAGTGTAAATGTTGCCATTCTTCCAGAACTTCGCAAGTTGTTGAGGTTATGTATTATTGAAGAACTTCGCTTTCAAAAATTTCTGTTTCAGATTTCAATGGGCTTTGTTTTGCTCAAATACACAGAATCTGAATATCAGTTACTATAAATAATCAGACTTAGTTTTCAATTAGGGAATTACTTTGTGTATACACCCCTACTGAATTAAAATTAAAGTTTCAATTTCTCTTATGTAATGTTTAAAACTTCAATTTCCATCTCACAGAAGACACACTATATCTCCATTACAAAACCAAGTGGTTAATCCTGTGTAGTGGCATAACAGTTATCCCTTCTTACATTCATACAGAACAAATATACACATCTACGGGCAAAATAAAGCGTTTATATGCTAACGTACGTGGCATACATAGTAACCCGTGTCCTGAAGTGTTAATATTTATCATAGTATTATCACATGTATGAGACACTATAGCAAAATCGTGAAATAAAGATTAGTAACAGATGTTTTGAAAATGTGGCACAGTTCAGATATTTGGGAACGACGATAACAACTCAAAACCTGATTCAGGAGAATATTAAGAGGAGATTGAACTCGGGTAATGCTTGCTACCATTCGATCCAGAACCTTTTGTCTTTCTATCTGCTGTTCAAAAACATAAAAATTATTATATACAAAACTATAATTTTGCCTGTAGTTCTGTATGGGTGTGAAACTTGGTCTCTGACACTAAGAGAGGAACATAGACTGAGGGTGTTTGAGAACAGGGTGTTGAGGAGAATATTTGGACCGAAGAGAGACGAAGTGACGGGAAGTTGGAGAAAACTGCATAATGAGGAGCTTTATAACTTGTACTCTTCTCTAAGCTTAATTAGAATGATCAAGTTAAGGAGGATGAGATGGGCAGGGCATGTAGTACGAATAGGGGAGAAGATGAATGCATATACAAAGTACATGGTGGGGAAGCCAGACGGAAAGAGACCATTGGGAAGACAAAAGCGCAGGTGGGTGGACAATAATAAAATGGATCTTAGAGATATTGGATGGGATGGTATGGATTGGATTAATCAGGGACCACTGGAGGCTCTTGTGGACACGGTAATGAACCAACGGGTTCCATAAAATTCTGGGAAGTTCTTGAGTAACTGCCCAAATGGCGGCTTCTCAAGAAGGGCACAGCTCCATGAGTGAGTGATGAGTGTCTATAGACGGGGTTTGGATTGTGACTAGATTTATTGAACACTCACAGATCGTAACTACAAGTAATTATAGCGCCATTGCTAATTTCAACACTTTACAAATCGCTACAGCACAAGCTAAACCTTCTCAGTCTTCTTTCACTAGTCGTATCCTGACATCGCTTCTTCTGCAGGTCCGCCCGCTGTCGTAGAGGTCGACATCATGGTGAGAAGCATGGGCCCAATTTCTGAAGTTGACATGGTAAGTTTATGCACGCACTGCATCCAGGCATAAATTCATCTTCAATACGAACCAATAGATAATGGACGTAAACTTTCAAATTGTTGTCTCATCCTCATAAAAGAAACTGCAGAACAGCTAAGAGTTTGTTCCTGTGACATTTAGGATTATTGCAATATTGTAAGAAGTTCCATGCAGAACTCATAAAGCCTATTATACAAAATCATGAGAATGCAACACGCTATATGTACGATAAGTACACTTGACAAAGGCCAAGCTTATTCACAACAGACAAACCCATCTTCTCGTCAGAGAGGATGTTACATAAGGACTATGACTGCAAGGGTTCAGTTGGAAAAAATTATCTGGTCGTGAGTCTCGAGGGGCTTGGCGCTAAGACGAACTGATTTGCGCTAGCACCCAGTCGTAAAGTAACCTGACTTTGACTGTAACATAAACCTTACATTACTGTTGCTCAGTCTTCCAGTGCTACAAGTCTTGTGTTGATAATGTTATATTTGGCCATCATAAGTATATAACATGTGCAATTCAATTTATCTAATCGGTTAGCACAGTGGTCTCGTGCCTGAATATTTATAGGTTCGAGTCGTACTCGAGTCAGATAAATGTATTGCTTGCAGTTATGTTAGATTATTATTATTAAATTCTTATAATTATCATTATTATCATTGCTATTTTACTTTTAAAGAAACAAGGAACTTACAAGTAGTTACTATAGGATTCTGACGATGGTGTATAACACAGATATTTTGGGTTTTCGGTCCGGTGATTGAGGCTCGCTCTTTCTAACGGACCCAACAGAATAGGCGTTTTCCCTCCCCTGAGGATGGAAACAGATCCAGTTTCCGAAATATCGTGTTTTTCTTAGTTATCTTAAAACCAGGACGATGGATAAGGTCCGAAAACCCAATATCTCTTAAGGAACTTACAACTTAAATACTTACTATGACCAGCCTATTCTACGTTTATCAGACGTAACATCAATTTCCCACACTATAGCAATGTTTGTGCTTAGAATCAGTTACATTATTTGTATGTGTCTACTTTCAGGCCTAACTCTTCTTCCTATTTCCGGTGGTTCATTAATTTTCTGAAAACAAAAACAGATTCTTCGAATAACAGCTATGTTTTTGCCTTATAATCAGCAAAGTTACATCCTTTAAGTGAAAGGCAAAAAAGGTAAAGCTATCCCTGTAACAGGCCATGGAGGCCCATATGGTTGTGAGATGTTGAGGCTACCATATTTTCTCTATACAATCGACTCACAGATGGCGGCAAGGTTGTCAATCTTATGCTCCGGCCCCTCTCTACCCTCAAGGAAGATTTCTGGTACTCATTTCTGTTAGAGGCTGACCCCAGGGCCATAGTGAGGCTGGGAGGATTAGGCCAATTGAAAAAATCCACTTCATCGGGACTCGAATCCGCAATCTTCCTGCTTGCTTATTTCGAAAATGTATGAAATATTAGAGGGACTTAAATTAGTTGTCATTTTTATCGCACCCACCTCATAAGTTAGTATGTCCGACTTGTTATTATTGATTGTACAAAATTAAGAAGTACAAGGCATAGATAACAACCAGCGATGAAAAGTTCATAGCAGATTTCGCAAGAATCGATCAGTTGGTTCAAATATTAGAAGGAAGGTGAGTGGAAGTATAGTGGTCTCATAAACATGCGTTTTATTTTTTCTTTCACAAAAGGCCAGAACGCTAAAAAGTAATGTTTTATGTTCATAGAATAGACATGACAGTGACGCGACTCTCGGCCTGCCTACTCTTCGAGATATCCTGGCTAACAAAGAAGGACACTGTGTAAAGGCAGTGTAATCTAAGTTATCCTGTACTATTTTCAGGTATTTTTATTGCAGATTGGGTTTGTTGACCACTTACAGGGCCTAACTACAAATAACTATGATACTATCTCTAATTTCCACAGTTTACAAATCACTATAGCACACGCTAAGCCGTTTCAGTCTGCTTTCACTAGTCGTTCCCTGGAAACGGCTTCTAACACTGGGGAATCTTCAATTGCACCGGCAAAGTCTTCTCCTCATAGACACCCAAACAATTATCTCAGTGCTTCAACTGACTAACTCCTAGGCTGGAGGCCATTTCACACCAACCTCCTAGTCTTCTCTTAAGACTGACTTTCAACTGACAACTGACTTCAGAACACATAATGTCTTCTCAGTTTTCAGTAGTCGTTTCCTGGTAACGGATTTTAACACTGTCCTGCGCTTATGTCCTTACCGTCTGGTACACACTCCACAATTGAACTACTCTCAGTCAGAGTCAGAGTCAGAATTACTTTATGACAGAAGGTTCACCGCCAATCAGTTCGTCTTGGCTACAAGCCCCTTGAGATTCACGACCAACAATTTATTTTCCAACTGAACACTTGAGGTTATAGTCCTTAAGTAACGAGAGGATGGATCTGCCGTTTACAATTGCTGCTGGTCCTCGCCAGCACAGCCTTTCTCAGTCCAAGTCCAGCAGATCACCTGACCACATTTTACTTTCTCAGATTCGAGACTCCACAACCTGAAGGGCCAGGTCCCCGTATATACGAGTATATATCAGCCAGGTACAGGTGTCCCAATTATACCTCAAGGCACTGGGTTCCCTTTTCGTCGCCTCCTACGACTCGCAGGGCTACGGTGCAGTTATTCGACCCCGCCTCCACACGGTTGGTCCTCAAGCCCAATTGCCTTGTTTATAACCACTTTGCACGAACCGAGTAGAAAACACAGTTTCCAACAATAACTCTATTGTTGTAGAGACGTTTTTACAGCGCCGTTGCATAGCTGCGGTGGTTGTATTGTTGTTTGTTTCAAGGTCTTTGCCTTTCAACTGGTCTATATGCATACACACTTCAATTACTGCATCCTGAAACAGGCTACCCAGTGAATATATAGGCTTGCTTTCCAGTCGCATCGTCTGACATCCAGAACGTCATATTGCTTGAAGAATGCAGTCTTCTGGGATTTGGCACCGTGTATATGTGGTGTTAACCGACGTTTCGGAGGAAGCCACATGGCCATGACCAACCAACATAACAACCCCCCCCCCTCAGCTCACAGTTAAAGCCCAGCCAGTTAACCTTGCTATCTCTCCCCTACACAAAATCGCTTGTCCCGGCTCCCTTCCCCCACCCCTCCCACACCACTGCTTTCACTTGTTCACTTGCAGTTCATCCCCTTCCCTCTCTGCTCTAACGGTATACTCTTTAGTCTGCTTTATCGTGTCTCACGGTGTTGTCGCTTGCAGATTTACTTATACTTTTTCTTCAACCCTGAAGATGGGGGCGATACGTTCCTCCGAAACGTCGGTTAACACCACATATACACGGTGCCAAATCCCAGAAGACTGCATTCTTCATAGTCACCGCCGTGAAAGCCTCAAATCTTACACGTCATATTGCTTGTCTGAAACATCTGTGAGGACACGTGATTAGGCAAACCTTGCGGAAGAGAGCTCCTGTGTGCTGAACTAGAACAAATGTTTGGCGATTCGAACCCCCAACGTTTGTTGAGAACAGAATCTGGTAAATTTATAATGGCGACATGACGATATAGGTCACTATCTGATTATGACGTAGCCTCGAAGATGTTTTAGACACAGTTTAGCATTAACCTTCATTAAGAATATGTCGCTTCATTTACAGACCTACTCAATGGACTGCTATTTCCGGCAGTCGTGGGTGGACCGCCGACTTGCCTTTCAGGGCAACAAGGAGACGCTGGCACTCAGCATCTCAATGCTGCAGAGAATTTGGAAGCCAGACACGTATTTCTACAACGGGAAGCAGTCCTACCTTCACACCATCACAACACCAAACAAATTCGTCAGGCTGTACCAAGACGGAAGAGTGCTCTATTCCTCACGGTGAGTAGGTCTATGGGCCGACCACAGGGACCTTGCAGTTAAAGGCATGAAATGTCTTCGTCCGATAGAACGCTGGGATCGTGTGTTCGAATCCCACTCGAGAAATTGATGTCTGTGTACGTTTATTCTGTGTTTGTGTTGTGCTGTGTACAGACAGCGGCCTTGCAACGTACTGATCCCACGTCCGAGGAGCCCTACCGACTGTGTATTGATTAAGTAAAGTTGTTCCTGTGCTTAACTAATGAAGCACTAAACCATGAAGGTGTATGGTGAAGTATAAGTATAAACCCATGTTTTCTTTACCTCGGCACTAGTTGGAGTTCAGTGGTCAGCTTCACGCCCTGGCCCCTTTACCCCTGGAGAAAAGCCCCCCGTACCCATTGGATAGGAGGCTGGGTGGACCCCAGAGCCGGTCTGGACGACTTGGAGAAGAGAAAATTCTTTCCCCCACTGGACTCGAACTCCGACTCCTTGGTCGTCCAGCTCGTAGCCATTCGCTATCCCGGCTCGTGTGTATAGGATTAAGAAACTGAAAAAGCAGCTACGGTCCAACAAAGGACTGTAGAGTCATAGATAGGTAGGTAGGTAGGTAGAGGACAGTGTATTGTCTATGGAATGGGCGCTGGTTTTAGTCCCTTACGAATCTGGAAATAGATCTATACTATGCTCAAAATTCAGGAAAATACAAAAACTCCTTAGAGTCCTTAGCTTGGAAATATATTAGCGTTACAGATATGTAGAAGTTTCTTGCAATAATAATTTTAATGGGCCATGCCTAAAGAGATAAAACTAGAGATTACTGGAGTACCAAAAAATTAATTGAAACTGTTTATACGAACGTATGCATTTTCAACAATACCGGTAAAATAATCCGGTCAACAGGGGACGTTTAGAAAGTGATATTGGTCATCAGTATGTTGACAAAGTCACAGAGTAATTTTTTTTATTTAGCTTAGTCGGGGGTGGAGTCCAACTGGGTCCACTCGGCACTGCGGTCACTGATTGGCCTATTGTAGCCTGCCCAGGGTGATTATGATGATGGAGACCGAAGTACTCGGAGAAAAACTCGCACCAGCGCCACTTTGTCCACAACAAATCCCACTTGACCAGACCCGGGATCGAACCCGGGCCGCCGCGGTAGGAAACCAGCGACTAACCGCTTGAGCTATGGCGCGGCCAAGTCACAGAGTAGCTATAGAGTAAAAGTAAGGTAAAGCTATCCCTGTAACAGGCCGTGAAGGCCTACAGTGTTGTGAGACGTCGAGGCTCCCACATTTTCTCTAGACAGTCGGCTCACAGATGGCGATAAGGTTGTCAGCATTAGCGCCGGCCGCCCTTTATTCCCCCCAGGAATATTCCTGGTACGCATTTGTTAGAGGCTGAGGCGACCCCAGGGCCATAATGCAATTGGAATGATTAGGTAAATTTAAAGAAATCTACCTCACCGGAACTCGAAACGGCGACCTTCCGGTTTGTAGCATAGTGCCTCAAGCAACTATGCTACCGCGTTAAATATCATTCCTAAAGATAAACTTACACTGAGGAAACATTTGAACACTGCAGGCTGAACTGTTTTCTATAAATCTTCTCACGTATGCTGGTGCATTTTGTTACGGGCAAATTTAAAACGATTGAAACAAATTACAAAAAGTAACGGCAGGCAGCAGCACATGCGCACGTGAATATAAACAAATGCAGGCTGAAATAGCAGTTATCTGAAACCCTAACAGTAAACTCAACTGCGCATGCGCTAGCCTCCATTAAACGAATTCTGGTTCGCATTAAACGCGACCTGGTATCGTTGTACAATTCGCATTAAATCAGATATCGCATTAATCGCGACGTAGCTGCATAATCAATTTAATTTTGCAATGTAACTTTCCAGAAATATTCCACATCCTTCCTAACAAATTAGTCGCGTGCCTCCGGAGGTTGCATCCCACACTTTGCAAACCACTGCCTAAAATGGAAAAGTCCTCTTTGAGGAAGACGAAACATGACTTGTTTAGATGCCTGCCAATTAATTGTCACGATATGAGCAAAAGAACAGCTTGAATTAAATTTCATTTACCGAGAAGACAAAAAATATGAACAGGAGAGGTTGTGAATACCGTCCCTGTTGTTCGCCGTCCCCGTGCTGTCACTGCGACATCGGCTGAAGGGAATGACAAAACAGAAGAAGGCCCTTTTATCACGATAGCAGCTTCCACGATATAAATCTATAACGAGTGCACTGCAGACAGAGCAGACTCAATAGTGGGGAAATTTAATAAATTAAATAAGAAAGAAACCAAGTAACTTACTGATATTAAAATAATATTCGAGAAGAACCTGACATCAAAAAGTTAAGAGGTAGCATTTATTTTATGCTGTGCCAACTTATATCATATTGTCACATTTATTATGAGAGATAATAGACGAAATTTTCCATTTGAGTAGATTTATTGACCATTTTAACATACAGCTCGTAATTACAGTTAATTATAACCCCATCGCTGATTTTCACACTTTAAAAATCACGCTAAGTCTTTCCCAGCCTGCAGTGACTTCACTAGACGTTCCCTGATAACGGCTTCTAACAATGAATATTCCTCTACTTCCCGGCTCAAATTCTTTCTGAACCGTGGCTCCCTTCCAACTGCCTATTCTTCAAGTCAAAGCCACATTGTGACTGACAGTCAGTCAATCAGTCTTGGTGTCGAGCCCCACTGTTTGACAGTTGCGGTCTTGTCATTGTGGGGCGCCCTCTCTGACGAGAGGACGGGTCTGTCTTTTGTCAGAGCCATTCCTTACAGTAGTTAAGCCATTTGTCATAATGAAAAGGATATTTACCTTTTACATGTTAAACATGTTAATAAATGTATATAAACAATATACAGGGCCTCTGTCAGTCCAAGCTCAGTGCAGCAGATTTTGCCCTAATTTCTAGTAGCTTCCGCTACAACGGCAGTCTAGTCACTTGAACGGCCGTATGCTTGATCACCGCCAAGTTTAAGCCTCTTATACTTTCTATGCCGGGCTTCGCCTTGTACAATATTGCGAATATTTTCGTTGTCGTGATTTTGTATGACTTCTGCTTGTTACTTGCATAATTTTGTATAATCATATATGTACGGAATTTTGAAAGCCATGTGTAAATCGTGAACCGGTGTGCACCTTGGAAAATTGCCAATGGTGCGGAGAACCTTGTTTTGCAGTCGCTGCAATTGCCTATTCTTGCCCCCAAGTCCAAGTCCAAGTCTAAGTCACATTGCGACTGACGGTCTGCCAGTCAGTAAGTCTTGGTGTCATATTTATTAGTGTTTGACATTTACGGTCTTCTTTCTGTGGGGCGCCCTCTCTGACGAGAGGATGGGTCTGTCTTTTGTATATGTTCTGGCCCTTGCCAGTGCAGTCTTTTTAAGGTCTGAGCCCTTGGGACTCGATACCATATTTTACTGTCTCAGATTTGAGACTTCCCTTTTCGTCGCCTCTTACGACTCGCAGGTTCACGGTGGAGGTATTCGACCCCGCCTCCACATGGGCAGCCTATTCTTGCTTCACTTGCCCGCCTTATAACCCGTTTGCACGGACCGATTAGAAAACACCGTTTCCAGCAGTACCTCTATTGTTACATGGTTATCCGTTGCGGTGGGAACGTTTTCACCGAGCCGTTGCCTATAAACGGGTCTACACGCTACAGTATTATGTCACCATAATCCAACAAAACAGAATGTATGTTAGTAAAATATTCACCCCGGGCCTCGTTATTTGCAATGAGACATTACAAAATGGCCGTATACGTATGCGTCTTTTGTTTTCTCATTGCGTGACGCCTACTTCTTATTCTTAGCCTGATCTATCAAACAGGTACAAAATCAGCCATAACAGTTGACGTTGCTGCATACATTCACACTCATACACCCCCATCTATTTTTCTTTGAGGGGTCGGGGTTGCTTCACAACTCTGTCAGTGACTAGGTAAGAAAGCGTCGAATGGCGGGCGATAGATGAATGGAGAATTGGAAAGAATCGGTCGCGTTTTAATTGAGGGGTATTTGTCTAAGGGGGATATTGAAAATCACGAAAAGATTTAAGTCACGATAGTATAGATAGTATAACGGCCGAAATTCGAACCCACCACCGTCGGAATATGGGTCTATGGCCTTACCCCTATACCTACCCGCTCGGTGTGTCTAGTTGATCAGAACACTTTTCAGTTCATCATATTGTCGCGTGTGTGGAGTGGTTATAGGAGGGGGGGGGGCTTAGTAATCCGATTTATTGAATACTTACATGACATAACTGCAAATAACTATAACAGTGTTACATACTCCAAAGATTTTGTAACGACAGCACAAATTAAATGTCCTCATTTTGCTATTTCTTCACCAGTCGTTGCCTAGTGACGAATACCAACAATTTCCTCTGCTTCCGTGCTCACGTTCTTACCGGATGGTGACTCTCTCACAACTAATTCATTGCTCCAACTGTCGACTTTCAACTATCTAACCCTCACTAACTGCCCTGCTTGTAATATCTCGGCAAGGACTGTACCTCTCTTTCTGTTTCCATTTGTTGCCGTGGAAACATGCTTGTTTGCGAAGCCGTTACTCAGTAGTGACCGTCGTGTATTTGCTTATCTCGCCGTCGTTGCCCAGCAACTGGTCTACATGCCACATTATTAAAAGTACAAAAGAAGAGAATATATTTCAAAATACAACAAATTTTCGTTATTCCCCTTAATTATTATTATTATTATTATTATTATTATTATTGTTATTATTATTATACCTTGACGGATTGGGCGCTCTGGACTATGCCTGTTCAGAATTAATAAATTCTGAAATTGTGAATCTTGTAGACAGTCGGTAGAATTCCCTGAACGGGGGATCAGCACGTCGGGAGGACATTACCTACATAGGACGTCACAAAGACGGAAATAATGCAAATAACCATGCCTCGAGTGGGATTCGAAACCACGGTTCTAGTGTTTGAGCAGTCGAAGAAGACATTTCGCG